GGAGCCCCCCACAACCATACACACAGACGCAGAGCCCCCACGTGCTCCCTCCCCCCACTCCCACAAGCACAGGCAGCACAGCCCGCAAGTGGCCTCGTGGCCTCAGAACATCCCCGCCCAGGTGCAGGCCCTTCACTCGCATTCCAGGCTGCTCCCCAGATAAGCCTCCGACCAGCCCACAGTTTTGGCCGGGCAGCAGCCCTGCAGCCTCCCCACCGGCACAGCCACAGGCCCCTCTGAGGACTGGAGGGACCAGCCGCCTACAGAGCCCCGAGCCTGCTGTCCTGGTGAGTGAGAGGGGCTGAGGCGTGTGCAGCTGGGCATTTTCCTAATGGCCCTGCCCCCGTGGGGAGGAGAGGCCCAGGAGAACAGCCAGGGACCCTGTCCCACTGTGGCGCCCCCGTCTCCAGGATGTGTGGGCTATCCACATCTCAGGTTCTCCACTCCCATGGAATCAGAGGGCAAATGGTGCCAAGATGGCAGCCCCAGGCAAGCCCAGTGCACTAGCGTCCGAGTCTGGGGGCTGGTCCCTGGGACAGGCCCTGTGGTGGTGTCTGGCTGCAATGCTGCATGCCCTCCTGAAAGCCAGGGGGTACTCTGTGCCTGGTTTTACATGTACTTGGGTCCTGCTGGAACTTCGGTGAATTCCACGGACATTTTCTACCATGGAGGATGCAGGGCGGGGAGGTGCATGTGTCTTAGCTGCAACTGGCCCAGGCGGCCCCCACCTGTAGGTTTATGTGGCAACACGTGCCAGCCCAGCCCAGGGTGCCTGCTGTGTGGCACAGATCATGCCTGGAGCCAGGAGAGGGTGTGTCCAAACCCAGTCCCTGCCTCCCTGCCACCATCATTGCACACGTGTCCTCTGATGGCCTCACACGGGGCTCCTCACAGCACCTGGGCGCACACCCATTGACAGCTTCCTGGATGCTCGGTCGGCGCTGTGGTGAAGGTGATGCAACACTGGGCGTGCGGGACCTCAGGGAGGTGCCCCTGGCAGCAGCGTCCTGATCTCCGATCCGTGCCTCTCAGTCTTCTGGCTTTGGAACTTCCGCTGCTAACAGCAGCGTGGAGAGAGGGCTGAGCACCCAGCCCGCCTGCCCCTCAGGCTGTGCTGCCCTTGGTCCTTCAGAGCTCCACGCAAGAAGTCACATCTTCACGCCGGAACTTCTTTCCTTCTAACAGCAGAAAACCCAGGCTTACCCTTCTCCCTATCGTGAGGTCCTGGGTAAATGTACTCTTTTGAGTGTCAGACCAGTTTATAAACGACTCAGGCACAGCTGCCCCCTGCTGAGACACGCATCAAGACTGGGGGTCCAGGCTCCCCAAAATGCTGCTGCCCGTCACCCGTCAGCTGACACACATGGAGTGCAGGGGTCACATCCAAATCTCAAAAGAAACATTCCATTTTCACCACACCACACAGCTTCCAGTAAATTCTACAGGTCGGATGGAAGCAATGCCACAGCTTCTCAGAGACTTCTCATTTCTCTAACACCTGGATGGTGGTGGGTGCTGGGGTCTCAGTGCATGAGGCGTGATGGCTGCTTCATAAATAGCATGTTGTGCAGACACGTGGTCTTTTTTATTCTCCTGTTCCAAAAGATTGCATTACTGGAATTTTTAAAAATTCTTCTGTTTGGGCTTACCCTCTTCTGGGGCCCAGGTGTGGGGCTGGACAGGGCTGGGACCTGGTTCTACCTGCCAGGCGTGGCTCCTTTCCTCTCTCGTCCTGAAAACAACTGGTTCCTTCTGTCCACAACCAGTTGCGGTGGACAATCACAAATGAGCAGAGGAACCTGGCGGCTGACCTGGGGCCCAGCTGGGCTCCCCTGTGCTCTAAGCACCCCGTCTTCCCCATGTGGAGGCTGCCCATGGGGAGTGGAAGAGACTGCAGGTTGGCCTTGGTTTTGCTCTGGCTCCTGGGGCACACTTGTAACAAAGGACCTGGCCAGCACGTTGTCTGATGCCCGCACTTCTGTGTGCTCTGTCAGCATAGTGTCAAAAGATGCCTGCACTTGCACATGCTCTGTCCTTGGCATTGAATCTGTACCACGTGGGGCTTGGAGAAGCATGTGCCGGACGTGCAGCCGCCAGTGAAGCTGAACACGCCCTCCGACAGGCCCCTGGCTGATGGGCTGAGGCTTCTGGGAGAACCCATGGGAAGGGTGGGGCCCCGGCCCAGCTGGGCGCAGACCTGCCAGAGGCATCCAGACCTAGGCACTCTCTGCAAGCTCCTTCCACAGCCAGCCTCCCGCTCTGGCCACCAGCATGGCACTGGCCCCGCGTGATTCCTGCCTCCTCTCCATGACGGCTGGCCAGGGCTCTCGGGACGGCCTCGACTCTGGTGTGGGGTTCTGGGGTTTGTGCATCTGATATAAATTCCAAGAAGTAAACACCCTCTTAGTTCCCATCCAAGTCTTGAGAATTTCCTGTTGTCCGGCCAGTCTGTGGAGTCACCCACATCTGCACTTCATCAGCCTCAGAGGTGCTGGAACAAGAAGCAGATGGGCAGCAGGGGACACAGCCTTCAAGCGGCCCCACAGAAGCTCTGCCAAGACCACTCTGAGTCAGGATGAGGGGAACGGGTGCAACGGCGGCTTGATGATCATGCCTGCTGAGGCCGCCCCTCCCGCCGTGTCTCTGTTGTATACTAGGGCTCCTGCTCTGTGGGGTATAGGAGCTGCCGACACACGTGGGAGGGTGCAGTGGGACTCCACTGAGACCAAGACCCCAAGCAACAGGGAGAGCAGGAAGGCCTGATGGGCTGGGGGGAAGCCCACGGCCCAGCTTTGAGTCCCCTTGGTGGGAGTTGCCCCCGAGAGCCACAGGTCCTCCCAGGAGGGTCACTCCTAACTTAAATTCTGCCCCGAGGCCTTCCACCCTCCTGTGGCCCAGCCTCCTATAGGGCCAGGGGCTAGAAGCGGCGTGATGGCTGAGGACGCAGGGACCTGGAGCACCCCCAGAAGTGACAGGACGGTGGGGGCCAATGCTGGCCTCTGTGAACCAGGACTTCTGGGGGTGCTGCTGCCGTGTGGGAGTCTGGCCATGGCCTCCTCCCCACTCGACCTGAGGAAAGGACCAGAGGGGGCCGCTGAGACCATAAAACGTGTCTTCTGGGCTCTGAAGCCCAGCACTGGCTTTTTATTGGAAGTTAGCTGTTTGAAAACTCCCAAAAGAGAAATGATTTAGTTAACTCAGGAGGAAATAAATTCTTTCCCCATGGAAACTTTTGGGAAACGTCCCTTTCAAGGTACGCTTCTGTACCGTGTACTTAGGAACGCTGAGTGAGATGCTGCACCACAGGCTGCTTCTGAGGATCGGGTCACAGGCAGGAAGGGCTGGGGAAACCCCCAGGGCCTTCTGAGCCACTCGGGGGAGTGGGGGCCGGCAGCACCACTGTGCCCCGCACGCCCTGTCAGGTTCCTGGGGCCGAGAATAGAAACAGAAACAACTTTTCCCCGGGCACAAGCCAAGGAAGAAGGGAAAGCAAAAACCCAATGGACGCATCTGCATCGAACTCCTGGGAAAATCCCACAGCAGGCAGAGTCCCTCAGGAAATCAGTGGACAAATGTTTCTCCAGAATGAGCATGGTGAGGACAGAGTTCCTGCCTTTCTGGAATTAACACGGGACTCTTGTTTGACCTGTGGCTCTAGACAGCCACAAGCCGACATGTGAACCAAGAGACCGGTCCCAGGAAATGTCAGCTCTCAGGACCGCCCCCGGGCCAGGGCCCCATGCATGGGCAGTGCATGAAGAGAGGAAACAATCAAAGCTTTGCTGTTACCATGGGCTGGGAACAGGACTCTCTGTCCCAGTACTGTCTTGGGCGTGTGCCCATGAACGGTTTGCATGAATGTGGGATACCAGTATTTGCAATGCTTTGGATCCCGGGTGGGTTGGGAATCCTGTGCTGGGTTTGGGATCTCTGGAGATGGGGAACAGAGTATGAGACCCTCTCACAGTGTCTGTCCAGGGCAGAATAATTCTGAGCAGAACAGACGAACACGCTTCCAAGCTCTCCGGCAGCATAAGAGCCTGACCACTCACAAGGTGACCTGCCTAGTCCTGTCCCTAGCTGTGGGGAGTGACCGTTTCCATCAATAGCAGACGTGGCCCAGGCTCTGTCCCAGGCCCTGGTGTGAGCCCCACCTGGCATATACAGAATCCTACCCCTCTTGCCACCCAAGGATGGCCTGGCCCTCGGGTCCCTGCCCTGCAGGTCTGGGTGTACTTGCTTCCTCCAGCCACTCGGGTCTTTTTCCTTCCCAGCAATCCTGAGATATCTGCCCTTTTGAGGGCAGCGGTTCCACGACAGGGCAAGCCTGGAACACGGGGGTTGGGGCGGGGGGACACTTGTGGTACCTATGGTGCTGGGGGCAATTGGATGGCTAGGGGCTATGAAGTCCTCAGCGCAGGCAACGGTCCCCCAGCACCTGCCGGCCCCCAGGCCCCGAGGGCCAGCCAGCCTCCAAAGCCACAAGCGAGACGATGTGTCTGTCCCGTGCCCCGCACCCCTGGCCTCTCCTTTGGGACAGGAAGGTGGGGAGGGGCGGTTGGGGGTGGGTCTGGAGCAGGGCCTCAGAAGCCTCCCGCCGTTCCCATCAGGAAGCACATCCTGTTGGTGTCTGGCTGCCGTGGCAGGGCCGCTATTTGTTGCAGTTGGCTACGCCCTCCAGCTCACCAAAAACAGTCTCAAAAACAACCATTTCCTCTCTGCTGAGAGCCAGGGAAGGCGAGCTCCGCGCACCCGGGCGTCCCTGCGGCAGGCACTCTGCTTTCCAGGACGGGCCAGCCGCGCTAGAGGCATCTGCACAGGGGCCCAGGCCGCAGAGAGAAGCCGTGAACCCGCTGCACGCCAGTCACCCTGCCTGGAGCCTGGAGCCCACGGCGGGTCGGTGCTAAGGAGTGTGTCCCTGGCTCGACTCCCACCGGCCTCCCGAGTGACTCTGCTTTCCACTGCTGCAGGCGAGAAGAGGCACGTGCGGCACAGGCCGGCCTCCGCTTCTCGGGAAGACGGCGCACTCCCAGCCCTGGGTTCTCGCTGCTGCCCGCCCTCTCCTCCCTGGGATGGGACCCGAAGCAAGTGGCTTCAGCACAGGCCTAGCCCTGCTCCAGGTGCAGGAAGGAGGATAAGGCCGGGCCGTGAGGCGGCTCACCTGGACCATCCCATGGGCCTCTGCCCGCACCGCTCCGAGGATGAGCGGTGATGTCCTCTAGCTGCCCCTAGCAGTGTTGGCTCTCCCTGGACGTGTGGCAGTGGACTGGGACTTGGCTTTGTCCGGCCGGATAAGTGGCGGCACCAGCATCAGCGATGACCGTGCAGAGACTAGTGGCCGCGGCCGTGCTGGTGGCCCTGGCCTCACTCATCCTCAACAACGTGGCAGCCTTCACCTCCAACTGGGTGTGCCAGACACTAGAGGATGGGCGCAGGCGCAGCGTGGGGCTGTGGCGGTCCTGCTGGCTGGTGGACAGGGCCCGGGGAGGGCCGAGCCCCGGGGCCAGGGCCGGCCAGGTGGATGCACGTGACTGTGAAGCACTGGGCTGGGGCTCCGAGGCGGCCGGCTTCCAGGAGTCCAGAGGCACCGTCAAACGTAAGTCCACTTGTTTTCCTGTTGCCTTCAATGTGGCTGAGGCTCGAGAGCACAAGGGAGACACCAGGCATAGACTTGGTGAGCGGGTGGGGAGGCCTGGCCCCTGCTCTGCTCTGCGCGTGCCCTCCGGGCAGGCAGGCAGCAAGGGGCACTGTGTTTCCCAGGGAATCTGGAACCAGGCCCCACGGCCCCCTAGTGAGTGGCAGCCTCAGCGCAGAATCTGCTTCCAGCTGTTTTACACAGGAATTCATCTCAGGCATTTGGGGGACCTCTCTGCCACTATGCATAGTTATGGAATGGGTCATTAATCAAATCAAGGAAAGGCATTTTTCCTTGGTTGAAAATAAATATTATGGCTGGGTGCAGTGGCTCACGCCTGTCATCCTAGCACTTTGGGAGGCTGAGGCGGGAGGACTGCTTGAGGCCAAGAGTTCAAGACCAACCTAGCCAACATAGTGATACCCCTGTCTCTAAAAATAAAAACAAAATATTATGTCTTTACTCATGAGCAAAATGAAATAGAAATGAGTAAAATAAACAAGAAGTTTAAAAATATGCGGGCGAGCTCTGGCTTCATTCTCATGGTTGTTGCCGTCTTTGAGGGAGACAGTGGCAGAAGGAGATCCCAAGGGCTGGGCTTCAGAGGGGCTGCTGCGAAGGAGATGGACAGGGACAACGCCAGGATGCTTGGAAGGGGACGGGGAGGCCAGGATGCTCAGAAGGGGACAGGGAAGCCTGGATACTCGGAATGGGACAGGGAGGCCGGGATGCTTGGAAGGGGACGGGGACTTTGGGACAATCAGAAGGGGACAGGGAAGCTGGGATGCTTGGAAGGGGACGTGGACTCTGGGACAATCAGAAGGGGATGAAGAAGCTGGGATGCTTGGAAGGGGATGGGGATACTTGCAAGGGGATGGGGATGCTAAGAAGGGGACAGGGAGACTGGGACGCTCAGAAGGGGACGGGGAAGCCAGGATGCTTGAAAGGGGATGGGGAGGCTGGTACGCTCGGAAGGGGACGGGGACGCTCAGAAGGGGACAGGGAGGCTGAGTGGTTACAGAGGAGAGGAAGGGACTAGGAATGATTCCACCACAGCGTGGGGTTTGAGTGGCAGGGGTGAGCTGCATAAATAGGAAGGCACTTATGGCCTTCAGGGTCATCTCAACAGTCATGGCATGAGGACGAAAGGTCTCCCAAAGGCTGACTCTAAAACTGCCAGCAAGGTTTTGACTCACAGGTACCCCAAGTCTCTGCTGCAGAGCCTCATAGACTTGGTGTTGGATGTTCCTTCTGCTCCGAAGACAATGCTGGTCTCTGAGAGAACTGGAGGCTGAGGCAGTACCTCTGCTCCAGGCTGCAGAGGGAGTCCCGGAGTCCTGGGGTAACACACCACATGTGCCTCAATCACACGGCCCCATGCCCAGCCTGCCACGTTCGGAACCCTCAGGGGGAACGTCATCCCCATTTCATAGGCAAAGAAACAGGCTTTGCAGAAAGCATGTGGCTTGGACAAGGTCCCATGGGGGAATTCAGCTCCCTTCTGTCCACTCAACCTTGGCTATGCTGCACCACAGCCTGGACTGGGCACCTCCTCTCGCGTCCTTCAGCAGCAGGGAGCAACAGCCGTTATTTAAAAAGATCAAAGCCTATGAATAACTTCAAAGTTTCCACCAGCTCTCAGAACGCGGGTCTTACGGGAAGCCCGAGACTTGGGTCTCCGCTGAACTCAGGCAAGGCGCCCTTTTTCCAGACTCTGCCTGCTCTGCTGAAGAACAGCCGCAGCCTTGTCGCACTGTGCTGAGCCTCTCGGGGACAGCGGCTTTGCAGGCCCTGGAGGTGGGGCCGGGAGCTCACGTGCTTTGGGACCAGCACTGGCATCCAGCCCACAGAGCACTCCCCCAGGGGAGAGGTTCCCCCCTACCCCTGGCCCTCGGCCCCGGCTCTGCATCTCCAGGGCTCCTAACTGCTGCCCCTAACACCCACGGGTGGCCTGGGCAGCCCAGTTTCAGGGCAGCTGGAAGCCTTGGCGCCCCTCCCTGTCGCCACCTCTTGCATTCCTCCAGTCGCAGGGCTGCATGTAGTCTGACGCATCCATCCCGTGCCCCTTGCCGTCCACTTGCTGAGGTCTGGTCACCTAAGGCCAGTGGGACACACAGGCCCCTCACAGAGCCTCCTGGACTGCCACCCGCTCACCTGCCCGCCAGCCTGCAGGCTGAGCTGCCTGCGTCCACTGCTCCTTCCGGGGCCCTGGTCAGCCCTTTGGACAATACTTAAAACATCCTCCTGCAACTTCTACAGCTCACTTGCCTCAAGCTGCATTCTGAGAACCAGTCTAGGGTTGGGGTGGGGCAAGCCAGGGAAGACAGCATCACGCAGCATGCTTCTGCTCGCACGCCAGGCCATCTTCGGGGTTTCCGATATCGCTGAGGCTGGCATGGATGTCTCTGGACAGCTCTGTGCCCTGAGGTCCTGCCCCGTGGAGCGCACGGAGTCAAAATCATTCAATGCTTGCCACCCGCAAACATCACCAGAGGCCTGCCTGAGGGACAAGGGATGTACCCCAGACATCCTGAACTCTGGTCAGGGCACCCCAGGCTCCTGGACATCCCAAGTGGGCTGGGCCCAGAGCAGAGGGGCCTGGTCTCGACTTCAATTAGGTTCAGGCCCTCCCGTGCCCTTCCCTGTAGCGTTCTGTGGCCTGTGGTCAGAGGGACTTTCATTACGGAGCAGGGGCTCTCTTTCTAGTGGGGAGCTCGGGGGACCAAGGGGGCCTGAGGTCCATCTCACATGCCATGTTCAGGGCGGGTCTCACTTTCTGGTCCTCACGTTGTCTCGTTTTGGACATTTATGTCATCTCTCTGTACTTCGTGCGTTCTGTCAGGTGTCCAAAACAAGGTGGCTCAGGAACAGATGACTGTGCAACTGAATCTTGAGGCAGGTGAGCCTGAGCCCGGCACTCCCTAAGGAGGAGCCCACCCCTCTCTCCGGTGGCTCCGAGTGTCTCTGTACACCATGCATGCCCCGCCACACATCAAACACGCATGTACGACCCTGCCTGAATATAGACAGATGACAGTGCTCGGCCAGGACCCACCTGGGCCGTGTTCTCACTGACAAGTCAGCTGCTACCACAGAGGGCCACACACAGGCAGCACAGGAACCAGTAAAATGCCTGAACAGGGAATGCTGTTCTTTCTTCGGGCAGTGCTCTTCCGGCAGGCAGGAGCGTAGCTCAGACAGGAAGGCTCGGTTAGGAGTGCCTCCTTCCCGGCAGGGCGGTGGGTCTGTGGGTACCCCGTGGTAAGCCACAAGCCCTGGGGACTTGGAGGCTGCACAGTGGCTTGTAGGGTGCGGTCGCTGCACAGAGCCCCTGCCATGGCTTGTGGCACAGGGCTGTGCACCTGGAGCTGCCAGGAAGGAAGGCTGGGAGGCCAGGGCTGAGGGCGGGAGGAGAGGTCAGGGGTGCGTCTGCTCATTCCCAGCTCCTAGGAGCCTCGGTCACCCAGCTTCACCACACCAATACTTGCAGCTGTGCCTGGTGCTGAAGCCCACCTTAGTCATGCCCTTCCGGGCTGTGCCGCTCCCCGAGCCGGCCCTGCACCCCTCCTCCCCCTTCATTCTGCTCTTTCCTCCCCTCCAAGGCAGGGCTGGGACCCCTGGGCTGGGAATCTCAGCTGCTCCTCTCTCGAATAACCTTCTGCATGATATTTTAATGCCTCCCTCATGTTACGACGTTTAGAGAAGTAGAGGCTTCTGGAAAGAAGTCATTGCCAGGACAGTTAAGAGCGAAGATGGCACAGCACCATGCCACAGATCCTGCTGGAAGGGGCTACAGAACTCACACAAGTCCCTAACGTGTGGACAGGACGCCCTCAGAATGCAGGCCTCACTTCAGTCCCTGCAGGCTGCACTTGCTCACTGGTCAGGGCTGGCTGTGGGGCCGGCGGGAGCAGTCAGGAAGGTCCTGCCAGTCGGCCGGGGGCGATGTCTGCCTGAACCCTGCCTCCTGCCGGCCCCACCTGCACAGGTCCTGGGGCAGCCGAGGAACCCAGGGCGAAGGCGCTCCACGCCTCAGGCCTCAGCAAGCCACACGGTGCCACACTAAGGCCAAGCGTATCTCTGCCATCCTCTGGCACTTCTAGCGCCCCAGGCTCTGCTCCTTTCTGCCAGCACTCTGGACCCATGGCCGCCAGTGCCCATCTGAGCCAGGTCCCCACCTGCTGCCAGGCTTTCCTGCTCTCCCCGCGGGAGCCCCTTGGTCACCAGGCCAGCTCTCAGCCCCTGCGTCTGTTCTTTTGAGAGCATGTGGCGGGAGTGCCATGGTTTCTGGCTCCGCAGTTACTTTGAAAACCAAAGAACATGAGCTCTCAGTTATGCGGCAATGAAGCCCACTGGGACATTTGTCTTGCTGTGAGAAAAATGTGTGAGGAGCAGCTGTTGCTCCTTCTGACAGCCCTGTCAGTGGCCCCCGCCCGTCCGTGGGCCGGCCCCCCGCTCGGCCCTCCCACTTGCCAATGGAAGGCTTTTGGTGCCGCGTACAGTTCCGGCAGCTCTGACTCCTCAGCAGTCCGAGGCCCCCATGCCCCAGGTTTCTTCCGGCCTCCACTCTCTGCAGTGTTCTCACGGCCCAGAGGCCTCAGGGCTGCAGGTGCCACCTGGGCCAGAGCGGGCACGTTGGAAAAGCCTGGGACCCGGGAAGGACAGCTCCCTCGGCCCCGAGTGACTGGAGGGGACGCTGCGGAGGGAAGCAGCTTGAATGACATTGGGTCAGACGGGCTGGCCCTCAGAGAGGAGTGGTGCGCCTCCAGGGAGGCCGCAGGCCTAGACAGAGATGACCCAGGCACCAGCTCAGCCTGGGGCCGGGGCAGCGCCCAGCCGGAGTTGGGAAGAAAGGCAGTGCCCAGCCCAAGGGCCGGGTGGGAAGCAGAGGCCTTGGCTCTGGAGCTTTGAGGTGATTCTGTGAATCTAGATGGCATTTCAATAAACGTTGAGGTTGAACCATATGGAATTGCTCATCCTGATTAGGTCATTCTGACGGATACGTCTAACAACATAAACACTCGCCAAGTAAAGCAGCCCGCACCCGCCCCACCACACCGCAGCCTTGACACCAGCACGCCTGCTCCCGTACACGCATGAACCTCGACAGCTCCCGTGCCAGGCTGGCTTCCCACAGGCGCACTCGGAGGGGGCGACCTGAGGATCTCTTTGTCCTCATCTCTGCCTCCACCTAGGACACGCAGCAGTCACCCTAGAGGCCGACGCCCTCAGGGCTCTTGGGAGATACTGCTGCCTTCCAAGCAATTCTTGTGTTTGTGATGAATGTGTGTAGGCCCTGGGGCACACAGGGACCTGCGCCTGAGGGCCGAGGCTGCTTCCCTCTTAGACGCCTGCATCAGTTACCTCAAGAGTGCCCTGAAATTTCAAGACAAGCCATTTAAAAAGGTGGCACAGTTTGCCACCACTTAGCTTTGGGAATCTAATTTCCCAAATACTGTTTAATCGAAACGAGGCATGGAGACTATAGGCAGGGGACTCTGTGGGGCTGTGGCTTCACGTGCAGCCCCTGCCTCTGGGCTGAGTGTCTGCTGGTACACATGCTGTCTGCTCTGCAGCACGCTGGGGGCCTGGGGTATGGACTGGGAACACACAGCTTCACCACCATCTCATTTGGGCCTGTGTGTACGGTTTGATTTACGGGAGGACATTTCTCTCCTACGGAAATGCGACGAGCCCCGGTCCCTGAGGGCTGCAAACACTGCTCCCTGTGAGGTTCGCCCACAGAAGGCTGGGTGCAGGTCGACCGTGAGTGGCGAAGCAGGCGCCGACTTTAGCCACTGAGTGAGGAATCTGTGGCAGGAGATGCGCAGGGTGGGGTGCCAGAGGCCCATGGGGTGAGAGGGGAAGGTGGGGGCACTCGTTCAGATCCATGTCCAACCCCCGCCTAGCCCCTTGCTGCTTATGAGGGCACAGATGAGCTGCTCCTTGGGCCCAAGTTCCTAAGCTGCTGGGAGGAGGGAACACCACCATGGGCTGCTTGGGGGACAGGAAGCTGACCACGCAGGACAGCAGCCCAGAGGGGCCAGCCCCCAACAGTGTCTCCGGTCAGGTGAGGCCCTTGTCTTGGATGCTGTGAGTTTGGTGAGGAGCTTGTGAGGCAGACAGGGAAGCTGGCGCCACTGGTGGGGCTTCCCCTCCCCACCTCCAGCCCCATGCCAGCGCCTTCAAGGGCCAAGTCAAGCAGAGAGGAGAGCTGTCCCAGGAAGACAGAAATAGCAGAGTAAGGCCTGTCCCTGCAGGGATATGACCACTGCAGCCAGGCCCAGGGGCTGGGATGAACGCTTCTGGTCAGGAAGACATGGGACCCAGGGCTTGCAGGCAGGTGAGATGGAGGGCGCAAGGCTTCCAGAAGGGTCTGCCCAGAGGAGGCACGCCCTGTGCTGACCACCCTTTCAAAGGCAAACAGTCCACGAAAGAGGCATGGCGGCCAGTGTGGCCTCCAGAGCCCACCTGCGCTCACCACTGCCTCCACCTGCGCTCACCACTGCCTCTCTGCTCTTGGCCCACAGTGCAGTTTGACATGATGCGTGCCTGCAACCTGGTGGCCACGGCAGCGCTTGCTGCAGGCCAGCTCACCTTCATCCTGGGGCTGGTGGGCCTGCCCCTGCTGTCGCCCGACGCCCCGTGCTGGGAGGAGGCCATGGCCGCTGCGTTCCAACTGGCGAGTAAGTACCCGGACAGGCGGGGCTACCTCATCCCTGCCCCCTGTGGCCTTCTGGTGTCACGGGAGGGTCATGGGGCCTTGGATGGCCTTGTGGGAAGCTGCAGGCCATATCTCTCAATGTGGGGGTATCCTCCCTCTCCATGGACCGCTATAGGCAAGAATGATGAATGACAGAAGCACACCCAGGCCAAGGACCAGCAAGGCCGAGACTACCTGGCTGTGTCTGTCATGCCCTTTTCCACTTTAAACACAGACAAAGCACACCGGGCTGAGGTGCTTTGCTTTCCTGAGTCTGTGGGGCTGATCTCTGACTGGCCCTTGGGCAGCCCACATGGGACAGCCTGGATGCTGCATCTTCCTCGGGGCTAAGGTAGCTGGGAGGCAGTGGGGAGAGCAGTCCCTGGGCAGAGGCAGCAGGGCCCACACCCAGCCCCACCCTGTGCCCCTTCCCAGCTAACAGGGTTAGAGAACATCAGGCCCAGGGAGGCCAAGGCATGTGCTCTTTATAAACACAGCTTCCTAGGACCCGCCTGGGGTCCGCACAGGCCCTTTCCACACGAGGAGGACAAGACAGAGTGAGGAGAACACGCTAGCATGTTCCACAGTGCCCAAGCGGACAGTGAGGTGCCCACACACACACACGCCGTGCCTGGCTCGGACACAGACGCAGATGGCAGGACCATCACGAGGGCCCCGGCTTCCTCGAGCCGCTGTGCGAGGAGGGGAGGAGGCTTGGCCTTGTGGGCACTGGGCCATCGCTGCTCAGAGCCTCCTCTCAACGCTCTGGACCCAATACCCTGGGACAGGGCTTGAGAACACCTTGTGTTGCAGAGGGCGACAGTGATGGGGTCGTCGTAAACAACCTGTGGAACGGTCCTATGGTTTCTAGACAAGTGGTGGAGCCACAGAAGTGCCCAACCACGACCCCAGTGACCGGAGGCGGTTCCGCTGGTCTTTATCCCCACTGCCCCGTCTGTGGCTGACTGAGAGGTCTGAGGACCCTGGGCCCCTGTGGCAAGTTCAGGTCTCCTGCTGCTCACTGGGACAGGTCAGCCCGGTGCCCGCAGACAAGGACATGAAGGAAAGGAGCATGTCAGTCCACAGCTGAGTGTGGCCAGCACGCAACTGCCCATACCCTCCTCCTCCTTGGGGCCGGCACAGCATTCTGAGGTTGCCCTGCAGTTCCCACAACAGAAGTGGCAGGAAGTCCAGAGTGAATCATTCTAGGAATAATGGACCCTTATCTCTCCTAAGAAACACAATTTCCAGAACGAGGCTGACAGACTGCAGGGGCAGGTATTCCCATGCTGGACAGTGCCCCATGCAAGTCTGGATGGGGCTCTCTGAGCGCTATTAATAGCATGGTGTGGCCCTGGGCAAGTCACTTCCTCTGGTGGGCAGAGGCGGGAAGGGAGGACACCTCGAGGCTTCCATGGAAAAGCGCTAGGCGTGCAGCCCGGGACTGAAGCTGCGTCTTGGCTCCATCATTATCGACGTGAGGTCAGGCATTTCACTGAGCTAACGTGAGCCTCTGTGTGCCCAACTTTGAAAAGGGTAATTTCTGCCCCCTACCCAACTGATTGTAAGAACGAATGAGTGACGAGGGACCAAGGATCAACTCTGCCTCCCTGACTCCTGCATGACTGCGGGGAAAACACGAGACTTTCCACGAGGCGCCCAGGCTAGGAAAGTTCCCACAGGGCCCTCTGCTGACCCGAAGGCTATAAAACAGAGAAGTGTTTTTCCTGTCTCACTGAAACGGCCAATCTCTACCACGTGTGGAGATCGGAAACACCATGGCTTGAAGAAGGAAATGGAAGATTTTGAAAATGTAATTGGAAATGCTGGGTCAGAATAAAGATATTTTAGTGGCACAGAGAAAGCAAAAGCAATAGTTTTTGATTCTGAAAATAACTCCTTCAAGTAGGATAACCCAATGGATGGATCACTACATTTCTTTCTCTTTTTTTGAGACGCAGTCTCACTCTGTTACCCAGGCTGCAGTGCAGTGGCGCGATCTCTGCTCACTGTAACCTCCGCCTCCCAGGTTCCAGCGATTCTCCTGCCTCAGCCTCCCAAGTGGCTGCGATTACAGGAACCGCCACCACGTTCAGCTAGTTTTTATATTTTTAGTAGAGACAGGGTTTTACCATGCTGGTCCGGCTGGTCTTGAACTCCTGACCTCAGGTGATCCACCTGCCTTGGCCTCCCAAAGTGCTGGGATTACAGACGTGCGCCACCGCACCCAACCAGATCACTACATTTCTTAATAAATCTCCTTGAAACTCTTGTTTAGAATTATTAGGACTACTGTAGATTTGGCATGTCGAAAATGACAGCTTACTTCCTGCAAACTCTTATTTCAGGACAAGAGAGTGTTTCCAAATATATTTAAAAAAATAATAAAACATGGGGGCAAATACCCTGAAGAACTAAAACTCAGCTGTCTTGTAGCAGTCCTGCGGGAATAGGGCTGGAGGTCTTCGGAGGCCCGTCCTGGTCAGGAGGGGTGGTGGCGGGGGAGGGACTGTGCTCCAGCTCGACCTCTGACAAGTTTGGACCAGGCTCTGTTCAACAGCTGCCAGAAAGGCAGGCACCGGGGTGAGGGCCAGCAGCATGGAGCAGGGCCCTAGCATTTTGGGTGGCTTCTCTTGCCCCCACGGGCCGCCTGGCCCCCTGGGTGTCCAACCATCACCCCAGCGGGTCTGTTTTGCCCAAAAAGGAAATGCATTTTGGCCCTGTTTAGACTTGCTTCATTGACAAACAGGACAGAGGGTAGCTATGTGCCTTTCTTCTATCATGCTGCTAATTTTAGAGTCAGTTTTTTTTCCTGCGCTAGAGTCTGTTTTAAACAGCCAGGGAGAGACTGAAGGGCGCCAGGATGTCCTGTCACAGGACAAGGAAACGCCTGCTATTACCTGTTATGCAAGCGAACCTCAATCCCAGGGCTGGGCAGAGATGGGGTGGGCCGCGGGGAGAGAAGGTGCTCATGAAGGAAAGGCACATGGAATTATGGGGAGGCTGGAACACCCTGGAAAGCCCGAGTGCAACACACTGACAGGAGGACTCCTTGTCTGCTCCAGAGAGACGCGGCAGCCCGTGCTTTTGCTCAGTCACTCCGTTTCTGGGCCCAGCGTCATACCTGGGGGTTTGCAAAGGAACCACCCTCTTCGTCCCTCAAGCCTTCTTCTTCCCTGCTCTGACACCCAGATGGAGCAGCTGAGATGTGTGCGGACCCCCCTGTCCTGGCATGGCTGCCATCTCCCTTGGCATCCTCTCCAGAGCTTGCATTCTGCCCATTCCACAGACCCCTGGTTCTCCTCGCTCCTCCTTACAGTCTTGTTGATTTGTGTAGACAGGCACAGGCAGAGAGGGAAAGGCGTGTTGACAGGGTCAGGGGAAGTGGCCAATCGAAGGTAAGTTATTCCAGCCTTTGATGGCTACAGCCACGGTATGACCCTGGTGCCCGACGCCTAAGCAACACAGAGCTGGGGGTGACTTCTGCAGGCAGCCTAGGCCAGGAAGCTCCCTGAGGCTCTGTGGTGCCCCTACCTACTCTTGGGTGGTAGGACGAGGGCAAGGTCCCCTTTTAACAGCATGCCATGGGCCACTCAGGTTCATGAGGTTCGGGGCCTGGTGGCACCTCCACGTCTCACTGGTGTACGAGAGCACTGTTCTAACCGTATAAACCCTCCTCTGTCTAGCTGTTCTGTCTAGATGAAGATGCTCCGAGCCCTCAGGTGTTTCCTGGCTGGATGGTTGGCTGGTTCTGTGGGAGCCCAGAGTAGGCAGCCTGGGTTCTGCTCCTGGCTCTGCCCCTTGTCAGCCGTGAGTCCTGGAATGAGCCCCCTTCCCCTAGCATGATCTGTGCAGTAGTGACTGCTCCAACCCACAGATGTGCCGTGGTCAGCAGTGCCGGCAGGTGTGTGTGATCTGTGCAGTGGACAGAGTGACCGCTCCAACCCACAGATGTGCTGTGGTCAGCAGTGCCCACAGGTGTTATTCGAGTGTCTCTCTGAGGCCCTGCTGGGTAACACGCACGCTGAAAAGCTTCAGGCCCAAAGCGCATCCCACATGCAGCACCTGAACTCCTCACCCAGGCCTGTCCCCCTGCGGGTGGGCAAACTGTCCTCTTGGCAAGAACGCTGCCAGGATCCATTTCTGGAGCACGGCCCTCCCCGCCTGTGGCTCTGGCTTTCACGCAGTGCCTGGGCCTCAGGCTCTGCTGTCCTGAGCCTGGCCTGCAGAGAATTCTTTCTGGTGGGTGGATCTAGTGGCCCCGCAGAGCTCTGTATTTGGAATGAGTCATATCTTCACAGGGCAATTCCTCAGCCATCACTGGAGCCCCAGGGCAGCTGTGCTGTCTCACTGGGGCCAGGAGGAGGAGGTCGTGGCCACACACTGGGGTCTAGCCAGTGAAGTCACTGCCGTCCCGAGTCGGTGCTCACGTGGCACTCTCTGCATCCATGTGGGGACCTGTGGCATCTTTGCTGTCAGTATGCTAGGCTTAGTAGGGTCTCCCCTTAGTCTTGGTGCCCAGAGAGATGCATGTGACGTTGAAGCCTTCTTGCCTGCCTCTTTCCTGAAACAATCCTTCTTCCCCCGCTCCCATTACCTTGCAATTTGTATAACTGGCTTCTGATCCCTTTTAGAAAATGGTGGCATGTAACCCCAAATTCCCTGAACTGAACATCAAGGGCACCAGAAGGACACTAGAAAGGGCACCCTGGACAGCAACGATCTGTCCCGATACCCCATGAGGCGCCGAGAAGCTGACTTGTAGAAGTCAACTGTTCGTGTTTTATTCTGAACCACCTTCAAAAGAGCATTTAGGTTTTCCTGGAGACGCTGATTTTATCAGTCCTTAAACGGTCAGCAGGGTTGATACTCACTGACTTGGAATCTTGCTCGCTAGTCAGAAAGTCTGCTGTTTTCTTAGACTTTCTTCTCATGGAAGTATACATGTTTTAGTTATTTACAATAACCTGGCTCTTTTCTTGG